AAAATTATAGGAATATGTCAGTGTAAAACAACATTTTTCACAACCACGTTTCGAACCCGGTACCTTCTGTTCTCTAAGCAGATGCTTGATCTGGGTCACTGGGCTCTGATTCCACACACGCGTGCACATGTGTGGTAATGCTAGTCTTTTACGCACTATATAAATAAAATACCATAGTCTTGGCTTGAACTAATTTATTTATATCTATAGTATTCCTTAACTGTAATGCTAACGAGTTTGGATGTGATGGCGGTCGTTGTTTGGAATCTTCACTAAGGTGTAATGGAATTCCAGAATGTATAGATGGAACGGATGAGTTGAAATGTGGTATGTATGCTAAGTAATATATTTTTACAAATTATTCTTAAACAATAACTGGGATTTATTTAAGTCTGTTGGCGAGTCGAGGCGATAAGGCATGCGCCTTACATCGGCGCTGGTTCCGCCTCTCGCCGCCCGCCCAGGGTTCGGCTGGCAGAACCAAGTCTTAACCTTAAATGGAGGTTTAATGTACGCATCTGGCTCGTGCACACTTTAAAGAACCCTAAGCGCCTCTTTACGGCCGACAGGTAGTCACGGACCACGTCCATACGCAATTTGGCACAATGACGCTGCGAGTTATGGTGTTATTTTCCTACCTTTACCCACTAACTCTACCCTTACCTTTTGCAGATATTGGGAACTAAACCTCATTTCCACCCTGTACCAGTTAACAATTTTACGAAAGTATAATAGGACTATCACGTTAAACAAAAAGAAATAGGCCTACTTTATAAATCCTATAAAAGACACTTGTTTGCAATATACCTGCCTTATCTTTTTGTTTTAGCTCAATGCAGCAAAAGCCAGTTACGATGCAGTGATGGTAAATGTTTACATCAAAAGTATATATGTGACGGAATATCAGACTGTCCAAACGGAATAGACGAACGCAATTGTCGTACGTAGTCTTAATGCGATAATTATTATTGCACTCTTTATCTTCTTTACTTTTAACAAATTGCTAAACTAGACCTATAATTACTATAATTACAATTATAATTGGTTTTTCCTTTTTTCTAATAATTCTAATTGATTTATTTGTAACAGCCTCTAGCCTTACATGTAAACACTTGGAAATGCGTTGTGAAAACGGTGTTTGTGTAGATCAGCGGTATATATGTTTGCTTGACAATGATGAATATGGGAACATACTAGGCTGTCGAGATCGCAGTCATTTATACAACTGTGGTACGTCAATTATGGTTATTATTATTATTATTATTATTATTATTATTATTATTATTATTATTATTATTAGTATTATAATTATATCATCTATCTCATCAGCACCAAACCTATGGAACAATCTACCTCTTAACATTCAGTCAGCTGAAACACTGCATAAAATAAAAACCCAACTGAAAACATCTTTTTGATTGTGCCTTTCAATAATGGAATTTTTGGAGTATAGAGAATGAAAGCGCTTCTGAATAGTGAACTAGATTTTGGCGCTATACAAATATTGGATTGGATTGAATTGTATTATTATTATTATTATTATTATTATTATTATTATTATTATTATTATTATTATTTGTATAGGTGTAATTTTTGACCTACCTTACGTGGAAATGAACCGAATACTCAGTACATTTAAAAACAACTGCGAAAAAATACCAAGTTGTTCTTGGGTGGGACTCGAACCCACGATCTCCAGATCACTAGCCTGGCATCATACCTAGACCACCGAGCTTGCGCCTGATGGCCAGGGTTGAATTCGAGTCCAAATAAGCAGCGGGTACTGCAGTGTTGATAGTAATTGTTATTGTCGTGATAGAATAATAGACAATAACTGGATTTGCGTCAGGAGAAACATGTATAGGTGTATTTTTTTTCCACGTCGGGTAAGGCAAAAAAAAAAAAAAA